ACAGCCGTGGCAGGCCCAAAGGTGGACTGGAAATACTCTTGGCAGGAACACCCATACTTCATCTGCTGGAATATTTGGAGTTCATTAGGGTGAAGTGGCCCACATCCAACCCCAGCAGCAGCAGAGCACTTGGAGGATCAGCCTAACAACTTGTTAGGCTACCTGTCAGTAGTTAGGCTACTAACACAGCCCTAATGAGGAGCATTTCCACAAGGAAGCAGAGGATTTTGGTGCAAAGCCCCACATTCGCCCCCAGTGAAACTACAGGGCTGAGCCCAGCACTCCAGCAGCCTTTGAGACGTTGAGCAACTCCCACCAATACACACCCTGTGAAGGGTGAGCTCAGGGAGCAGGGCCAGGGCTGCCAAAGGCCTTGGCTGGGCCATCATAGCCAGAGCACTGCATGGGGTCTCTCTGCCATGGGGGTGCACAGGGTTGCTCCATTCCATGTCTGTAACCTCACACAGAAGTGCCTGCTTTCACTCTCATCCCATTCAGGGACACAAGGGTTTGTTTTTTCTCTTGATGCAGTGTTGGTGGGAATGTGGTTAGTGATCTTGGTTTGACTGATTCTTCATTTCAGTAAAGGCTCTCACACCTGTCCCAGCCTCAAGTGGTTTGTCCACCTCCCCTTCAAACCAGAAAGAGGACACTTGAGTCCCTCTTATCCCTTCCTAGATCCCCGTGCATGCTGCCATGGGATCAGCCCCCTCAGGACGGTCCCTGCCCCTGTCAGTCTGCTCCTGCCCACATCTTCCTCCAATTTAGGAGACCTGGAAGCAAATTCAGCATCAGGTCTAATGGAGACAGCCTGCCAGGCCCCATTGCAGCTGTCACAGGGAGACCACAAGGACAAGGGAACCCCAAGGCTGAACCATACCTATCTGGCTGTAAAACCAGCAAAGGCTTTCCAGGGCCAGCACCTTCCTTCTTCCCTCCATTTCCAAAACTGACCCACCAAGGGGAGACTCACAGAAATGCAAATGTCCTCTTTAATCTGTCCATGCTCTTAGATGACAAACAAAAATTAACATAATCTACTGTGGAGCCAAATCCCACTGAACCCAGCATACATTGGGAGAAGTGAGTGCCCCATTACTTTTCCTCATGGCCTTCACGGGCATCCTACTAGCTCAACGGGCCAGTCTATGCCCACTCCCACCATCCGCAGTGCTGTGGGAGGGTACACACTCCCCTGTCTCCTTTTCTCCTGGGAAGCCACAGAGGAGGGAACATTAGCTGAAAAAGATCTCCCTGACGTATTTCAGAACATCATCCTCAGAGTCCTCCCAGCCTGTCCTCCCTATGTCGGCACCAGTGTCAGGAGGAGATGGAAGAGCTGGACTGCGGCCGCTGTCTGTCCAGCTGGCTGTGCTTCCAGGAGCTTTGTTCAGTGCTGGCTGGGACTCCTGCTCACCTTCTCTCCCAGACCGGGCCACCTCCTCACCTTCCTCGCACTGTAGATTCTGCCCAAAGGGAAAACAACCAGAGCCAGCTGTGCGCGACCTCACCCCAGGAACAGCCCAAGGAATAAGGAAGGGCAGCCCACCACCCCAGCGGGACACCCCTGTCCGTCCCCAGGGCGACGGCGGAGGCT